AGCGACACCTGGCCCGTGCCGCCGCACCCGCTCAGGTCCCGCGCTGTCTCAACCGTCTCAAACAACAGCGTGTCGGAGCACAGGTCCGATGCTGCCGCGTCCACGTGCTTCATGCGCAGCGCCTCAATGTCCGCGTCCACGTCCGCAGAGCACTCCAGCACCCGGTCTGTGGGCCGCGTGGTGAACGTCGGCTTGGTCACGTCCTGCACCGTCACAACCTGCGTCGCCGCGTTCTCGTTCCCGCATGCGTCCTGCGTTGTCCACGTCCGCGTCAGCGTGTATGCGTACGGGCACGCCCCGTCTGTCCGCACCTCCTGCTTGCTCACTGCGGGCGACGACGTCATGCACGTGTCCGATGCCGACACATCCGCAAACGAGGGGACGCTGTGGCAGTCTGCTGTCGTGGATGACGGCGGGTCTTGGAATGTCGGCCTGGTGTCGTCGTACACGCGCACCACGCCCGTCGCCGTCTCCATCACCTTGCCGCCGTTGAACGCAACCATGAACTCGTACACGCTGCGGTAGCACCCCGGCACCGTGCCGCGCGGCTTCCCCGCAACGTACGACAGCGAGGGGTCGCCGCAGTGCTCGTGGTCCAGCACCTCTGCGTTGCCGGTTGCGTCTGCCCATGTCTGCACCTTTGTGTCCAGCATGGGGTCGTCGCACGCAAGCACCAGCCGCTCCGGCCGCGACGTGAAGTTGCAGTACACGCACGCCTCGCCAGGGTCCACGCACGCGTGTGTATCCTCCAGCTGGCACGTGGACGAGCAGCCATCGCCATCGTCTGTGTTGCCGTCGTCGCACTCCTCCCCGTCAACAACGAGGCCTAGTTGCATGCCCATGCACACGTGCCAGCAGTGTTGGACGAACGCAAGCGAGCAACACATGTGAGGGGCAGACGGAGTTGAATTGCGAGCAACGGTGAAACAGCAAGCAGAATATAGACGTGCTTGTGCGCTTGTGTGTGCGTCTGTGTGTGTGTGTGTGTGTCCAGACAAAGCTTGTCACTTGCCTGCAGACAATATGCACACATACCCCCCCACACACGCACGCACACACACACACACACGCACACACACCAAACATGGGTACGCAAGCAAGGACAACATTGCCGTACCATCGCCGCAGATGTAGGTGCAGGAGGGAAGCGCAGACCACGTGCCATCTGTCTGGCAGGTGATGGAACTGACATCGCCAACAAGCTGGAACCCCGTGTCGCACTCATACGACACAGTGGCCGGGTACCGGTGCATCATGGTGTTCTCTGGGTCGCCGTTCTCAATCTGCATGGGGTTGGGAGGGACGTGCAGTACACAAGGGGCACACGCACACAAAATGTGAGGACGGTCAAGTGTAGCACAATGAATAACCACACACCCTTGCTTGTCTCGCTTGCCTGCAGGCAACGTGCTTGCCTGCATGCAACCGAAACATGCACCTGGACTTCTCCATGCACCCCACAGCCTAACGTGCATGCACACACACACACACACACACACACACACACACACACACACACACACACACACATACATGCATGGAGAAGACTCACGTCTCGCACGGGGTCGCAAGGGACACCGACGCAGCGGGTAAAGTCGCCGTTCTCAGTCTGGAACCCAGATTGGCATGGCTGGCACGACACGGAGCCAAAGTCCGGCTTGAAGTGGTTGGCTGGCATGCGGCGGTGATGATGGTGGTGATGATGATGATGATGTTCGCACAAGCACGCAACAGAGCGCATTGGGCGTGAGGCACACAGGGAACATGTGAGACAACATCAGGTGCGAGTGCATGCAAGCACAAGGACGTCGCTGCGTCGCTGCAACATGGGCCATTACCTCACAGCAACACAGATCCTTCTCCAACATGCACACACACACATACTTCCGTCGCCATCTCACCTTGGCAGGGAACGCAGGTGCTTCCGTCGCCGCTGGGCTCGTGTCCAGCAATGCACTCGCACTTGGTCGCACCCGTCTGCCCGTTGGTCGACGTGCCAGAAGGGCACGAAGCACACGGCTGTGTCGGCGACGGCGCATACGAGTTGGCCGGGCACAGCTGGCACGAGGGCAGCTCGCCCCACGTCCCGTCCGTGCGGCACGACAGCGTCGGCGCGCCAACCAGCCCATACCCAGGTGCACACGTCACGCTCGCATCAGCAGGGTACCGCCCAGATGTCGCCGACACCTGCGCGTGGTCAATGCTCGGCGCCGTGCACAGCACTCCACGGCACGTCGGCGCAGGCGCAGACCACGTCTTGTCCGTCTTGCACGACAGCTGCGCCTGCCCAACAAGCTCGTATCCGGGCACGCACGAGAACTCCGCCGTCGCCGGGTACCGCGCTGGCGTCGAGCTCAGGCGCAGGTGCCCGTTCTGCGGGTCGCTCAGTGGTTTGCATAGCACCCCCACACACGACGGCGCCGTGCCGCCAAATCCGCCCGAGCTGGCAATGCAGCTGCGCTGCGCATCCCCCGTGTCGCTCAGCTCATACCCAGCCTGGCACGTGTATGTAGCTGTGGACGGGTACTGCCGGCTGTTTGTGTACGAGACGCTGCCGTGGTTCGGGGTGTCCAGCAGGGTGCACAGCCGCCCAACACATGTCGGTGCGGCGACGACCACGGTGCCGTTCGCCTGGCACTGCGCAGATGTCGCTCCCATCAGCACGACCCAGTGTTGCACGAAAACCCTGCACACAAAAA